TTAATATTTTAAATAATGTGTCTTATATCATATTATTTATTTTAAAATTTTATTTATTTTATTATTATTCTTATTTAATTATTCATCTTATTACAAAGAATTTCTTCCTTTTTTTTAAAATAATATACACATTATGTAGGTAAACTTATAAGTTGTCTAAACCTTTAATTAAAAACAAACTAACAATTATTGTGGGTCACTGTATTTATGAGATAACATATTTTATAACTATTTATATGGAAAATCACTCTAATATTAAAAAGTCCAATTTTAGGTATATAGGTTTTTTAAACTTGGGCGCATAAATTAAAAGGGTAAGTAATATATATATAAATAATATTTATATAAAAAGTGTTAATATTATTTTTAATTTAATTAATTAATTAAAAATATCTATATACCAATAATGTTAAAATAAATATTAATTTTTATAATTTTTTATGTAAATTAATTACAACTAATATCGTTATTGCATTCTTAAGAACATAAAGTAGCCAAAACCATAGTTTTAAGTTTTTTTTTTAAATTTAGATTATATAATAAGAGATAACTTTTTTCAATTATTCAATTCATCTTATATCATATAATTCAAATTTAAAATCTCATATTTTTATTTAAAAAATTATTACTAAATTATTTAAATTATTAACACTCATAATTTTAAGTTACTCCTCTTCAAAATATTAGTCATTTGAATTTTTTTGGTTCATATTATTAGGTAATATTTTTTGTAATATATGAATGATTATTGATTTCCTTTATGAAATAAAACTATTTAACAAAAGTTATATATAAAAAAATTTTAATTATCATTTATATATTATAAAAAATAATATTTGAAGACACGTCGTCTAAAATCAAAAGATCTATATTGTGAATAAAGGGAGTACATATTTTGTCACCCTTTTGTGATTAGTTTAACTAAAAAATTATAAAATTTAACTTTTATTTTAACATTACTTATACATAAATTATCTTAATTAATTAATTAATTAAATTAAATTAAAATTTTTATATTTTTATATAAATTAATTGTAAAAAATATATTATGAATAAAGGGAGTACATATTTTGTCACCCTTTTGTGATTAGTTTAACTAAAAAATTATAAAATTTAACTTTTATTTTAACATTACTTATACATA